ATTAATAGGTAGACTTGATTGACTGTAAGTTGGTTGATACATGGATAGGTAGACTTGATTGACTGTAAGTTGGTTGATAAATGTATAGGTAGACTTGATTGACTGTAAGTCGGTTGATACATGGATAGGTAGACTTGCTTGACTGTAAGTCAGTTGATAAACATATAGGCAGACTTAATTGACTGTAAGTCAGTGGATCAATGAATAGGTAGACTTGATTGATTGTAAGTCGGTTGATAAATAGATATGTAGACTTGATTGACTGTAAGTCGGTTAGGCTCCTCAACTCGGACACAGTAGTTGCAAATAATCAGTAAATATATGTATTTCAAACCTGTAATAGAATGCAGACATAATAACATTAAATGACACAGTTAATAAAATTAAAATTAATAAAGTTGAACATTTACCAGTATAACCATAAACTAGTTTTCCGTGTCGAAGTAAAAAGGAGTAATTAAGGATTTGGGGGTTTAATGGAATAGTTTAAAACATTTGTAGACACTTCTAAAAATATGAACCCAGATTTTTAAAATGGAATTTACTATGGATTGCAAAGCTATTTATGGATTTGATCTTTCACTTAGTTTAGGAGAAAGGTTTATGTTCAACAAAAATAAATAAACCAACAAGGTATAGTTTTATTTTTCATTCCTTGTGTACTTTTATTTATCATTCCTTGTGTACTTTTATTTATTCATAACTTGTGTACTTTTATTTATTCTTAACTTGTGTACTTTTATTTATAAATAACTTGTGTAGTTTTATTTATTATACCTTGCGTAGTTTTATTTATTATACCTTGCGTACTTTTATTTATTCCTAATTTGTGTAGTTTTATTTATTATACCTTGTGTAGTTTTATTTATTATACCTTGTGTAGTTTTATTTATTATACCTTGCTCAGTTTTATTTATTACACCTTGTGTACTTTTATTTATTATACTTTGTGTACTTTTATTTATTCCTAACTTGTGTAGTTTTATTTATTATACCTTGTGCAGATTTATTTATTATACCTTGTGTATAGTTTTTTATAACTAGCTTGGAAACCCAGCTTTGTATGAATTTTCCCATGAAAAAGAATTTAACTTAGAATTTAAAAACCAAGCTAAAATCACTCCCGTGGTTCTCTCGAGTTCCCCAATAAAAATTTGATGCGAATCGGTCACGGGATTTCTGAGTTATGATGAACGTATAAACAAGAAGACGTTTATACCACTTTATATATTTAGAAACCTTGTTTAGTTTTATTTGTCTATTTGTAGTTTTGTTTTTGATTGTGTAGTTCTATTGTTTAAACTGTTGTGTAGTTATGAAGGTAACAAATGTGTTGGGCGTGTATTTTCATTGTATTTTCATCATCTAACCATTAGTTTAATTAGCATAATACACAAAATAACAACTTCGAACATTCAAATTCTTTTTGTGATTTGTATTCATACTTCAGCATTCAACATTACATCTTTAAATTTTAGCATTTCACATTCTAGCATTCTAAATTTTAGCATTTCACATTCTAGCATTCTAAATTTTAGCATTTCACATTCTAGCATTCTAAATTTTAGCATTTCACATCTTAGCATTCTAAATTTTAGCATTTTACATTTTAGCATTTTAAATTTTAGCATTTCACATCTTAGCATTCTAAATTTTAGCATTTCTCATCTTAGCATTCTAAATTTTAGCATTTCACATTCTAGCATTCTAAATTTTAGCATTTCACATTCTAGCATTCTAAATTTTAGCATTTCACATTCTAGCATTCTAAATTTTAGCATTTCACATTCTAGCATTCTAAATTTTAGCATTTCACATTCTAGCATTCTAAATTTTAGCATTTCACATTCTAGCATTCTAAATTTTAGCATTTCACATTCTAGCATTCTAAATTTTAGCATTTCACATTCTAGCATTCTAAATTTTAGCATTTCACATTCTAGCATTCTAAATTTTAGCATTTCACATTCTAGCATTCTAAATTTTAGCATTTCACATTCTAGCATTCTAAATTTTAGCATTTCACATTCTAGCATTCTAAATTTTAGCATTTCACATTCTAGCATTCTAAATTTTAGCATTTCACATTCTAGCATTCTAAATTTTAGCATTTCACATTCTAGCATTCTAAATTTTAGCATTTCACATTCTAGCATTCTAAATTTTAGCATTTCACATTCTAGCATTCTAAATTTTAGCATTTCACATTCTAGCATTCTAAATTTTAGCATTTCACATTCTAGCATTCTAAATTTTAGCATTTCACATTCTAGCATTCTAAATTTTAGCATTTCACATTCTAGCATTCTAAATTTTAGCATTTCACATTCTAGCATTCTAAATTTTAGCATTTCACATTCTAGCATTCTAAATTTTAGCATTTCACATTCTAGCATTCTAAATTTTAGCATTTCACATTCTAGCATTCTAAATTTTAGCATTTCACATTCTAGCATTCTAAATTTTAGCATTTCACATTCTAGCATTCTAAATTTTAGCATTTCACATTCTAGCATTCTAAATTTTAGCATTTCACATTCTAGCATTCTAAATTTTAGCATTTCACATTCTAGCATTCTAAATTTTAGCATTTCACATTCTAGCATTCTAAATTTTAGCATTTCACATTCTAGCATTCTAAATTTTAGCATTTCACATTCTAGCATTCTAAATTTTAGCATTTCACATTCTAGCATTCTAAATTTTAGCATTTCACATTCTAGCATTCTAAATTTTAGCATTTCACATTCTAGCATTCTAAATTTTAGCATTTCACATTCTAGCATTCTAAATTTTAGCATTTCACATTCTAGCATTCTAAATTTTAGCATTTCACATTCTAGCATTCTAAATTTTAGCATTTCACATTCTAGCATTCTAAATTTTAGCATTTCACATTCTAGCATTCTAAATTTTAGCATTTCACATTCTAGCATTCTAAATTTTAGCATTTCACATTCTAGCATTCTAAATTTTAGCATTTCACATTCTAGCATTCTAAATTTTAGCATTTCACATTCTAGCATTCTAAATTTTAGNAACATATTTGGTTGTTATGTATACTTCAACATATTTGGTTGTTTTGTACACTTCAACATATTTGGTTGTTTTGTACACTCCAACATATTTGGTTGTTTTGTATACTTCAACATATTTGGTTGTTTTTAACAATGTACATATCAACTAGGGTTTCCAACGCAAGGGGATTTTACTTGCGCGCAATTGCGATCCTTTGAGCGCAAGTGAATTTAATTGCGCACAATTCCGTAATAATTGTGCGCAATTCCGTAATAATTGCGCGCAATTACGCGTTAAAGCGCAGAATTCCGTCCAACTTTCTTGCATTTATGTTTAAATATTTTGAGAATTTTCGATTTAAACCTATAATGCAATGCAATAAATGCATTTAATTTTTGCGCAATTCCGTTCAAAAACATTGAGTTAAAAAAACAACTTAAAATTTGGTAGTTGCATACAATAATCTGAACTTCACTAAAATTTAAGTCTCAAATGCTAAGAAAATTGAATTTAAATTTAACTTTTTTGCTTTGTAACGACATCTATAAATACACTATAATGATGTCTTCCTATACAAGCATTTTCTTACTTTAGCAAAATATCAAAATTTTAAAATCGAATCTTACAATTTTCACTCTAAAAAAGTATCATATTAAATAGTTAAATAGAAGCCTAACCACAAGACACTTTAAAACTAAAAAAAAATATTGAATAATTTCAAGTGACCCTAGATTAGTTTAAAATTTAAAATTCGGTGTTGGTGATGGACCAAACCTCTGTAGAGTAAAAAAGTAGATGTTAGTTCCACATTTATTGAAAATATATTTCGGTCTGGGTTGACCCTCGTCAGTTCTTGAGATTTTTTCTGTCTCAAAGGTTAAAATCTACAGTGATAACTACTGTCCATTTCTTGTATCTGCTGCATAAATTTAAGTTTATGTCAAAGTTCAAAATTATTGATTTTTGGATGGAAAAGCCTTTGCAAATCAATTCCATTGTTCGCAATTCCGCGTATTCCGCGCAATTTCGCGAATATTTAATTGCTTCCTTGTTCGCAATTTTAGCGCAATTCTGCAACATAATTGGTTGTTTTGTATATATCAGGATATTTAGTTGATTTGTACATATCAACATATTTAGTTGATTTGTAAATATCAACATATTTAGTTGATTTGTAAATATCAACATATTTAGTTGATTTATAAATATCAACATATTTAGTTGATTTGTACATATCAGAATATTTAGTTGATTTGTACATATCAGAATATTTAGTTGATTTGTATATATCAGAATATTTAGTTGATTTGAACATATCAGAATATTTAGTTGATTTGTATATATCAGAATATTTAGCTGATTTGTACATATTAACATGTTGAGTTGATTTGTACATATCAACATATTTAGTTGATTTGTATATATCAGAATATTTAGTTGATTTGTACATATCAGAATATTTAGTTGATTTGTACATATCAACATATTTAGTTGATTTGTACATATCAACATGTTTAGATGATTTGTACACACCAACATGTTTAGATGATTTGTACATATCAACATATTTAGTTGATTTGTACACATCAACATATTTAGTTGATTTGTACATATCAACATATTTTGTTGATTTGTTCATATCAGAATATTTAGTTGATTTGTTCATATCAGAATATTTAGTTGATTTGTATATCAGCTGGTAATCCAGGGTCTCCACAGGGGTCCCCCCAGCATCGAGGTGATGAAGACGATGAAACACTCAATGGTTATCCCGGACTCCTCTTTGTGGGTTCCTACGAGCCGGGAGAGGAGAAAGCTTTTGAGGTGAGAACTGAACCTTCTTTTTCATTCCAGGGGCTCTCCGGAGAGGTGCTGGAGAGGCAGGAGCCAACGGAGCCGGAGCTGACGGAGCCGGAGCTAACAAGGCCGGAGACGATGGAGGTCTTCCACGTCGGGGAGGCTGCTGAGGAGTAACTGGGTGATCAGAGAGTACAAAGCCGATCCACAGAGACAGAGTCAGACTTGGAACCAATTTCAATGAGAAAATACTTTGGATACTTGGAGAGGACTAGATATGGCCCTCTATATAACGGAGATAACGGAGGTTTTGATGCATCCTCTCTGATAAAAACATGAGAACAATTAGCTAAACTTGAAGGGATCTGGTCTGGCTTTGTGGCTGGAAGAGAGTGATGAGGTAGGACTGATGTACTGTTCTTCAGGATAGACTGGATTTTCCTGAGATACTCCGATGAGGGAAGCTCTGGAGTGTCTAGGAATTCTCCTGGTAAAACCAACGGAGAACCAAAGAGGGCTTCAGAAGCGGACACGGACGAATCTTCTCTGGGAACACTCCGGAGTCCAAGTAATACTAGGGGCAGATGATGGAACCAATCCGTTCCAGCTAAACGAGCACGTAGAGAAACTTTGAGCTGTCGATGAAATCGTTCCACGATACCAGTCCCAGATCTAGTGGACGAATTTCTCCGCGGCAAAGCATAAACATCCTCAAACTGCTCAGAGAGAACCTGCACAGGAACACACAGAGCCATCCTTCGTGGATCACTGATGGATTCAGAGAGCAAATGTGCTCAAATATCAGCAGGGAGACGGTCCATAAACAAACCCCTGAAGAAAAAACCAGGCTTCTCATCCTCAGGGAGCAAAACTAACATTTTATCCATTAGCTCAGAAGGACGTTGGTCAGACAACAAGGGCAAACTTTGTAACGCCTGATATCTCTGGAAATCACTCAATGTATACATCTGGATGAGGCGATTTCTCAGGGCTTCGTAAGGAGCGGCAGGGGGAGCTCGGACCAGGTCTAGAAGTCGACAGGCAACATCCTGGGGCAACGCAGCGAGGCAATGATTAAACTTGGTTTGCGAGACTGTAATCCTTTTTACCTCGAACTGTGCTTCGGCCTGGATGATCCATACCTCTGGAGAATCGGTCCAAAAGGTCAGAAGTTTTACGGAAACTGTTGTCAAAGGAACTGCAGACAGGGATACATCACTTCCTTCTTCCTCCGGCATGTTGACAATCGCTACTGTAACTAATCGCTCACGTTAACTTTTCTCGAAATCTCGCTGGAAACCCTACTTTGGTATTTGGGTTTGAAAAACGCAGGGACCCGGTCGAAACCAATTTCAGGTACGTCGGCAAGAGAGACTGCTTAACACTCGACAGCGACAAAATCACGTCGGGGTCACCAAAAATGTAGCGACAAAAAATAACAAAGATATAAACGGACTGACTATATATTTTGTTTCTAACTTACTACATGAAAATCAAACTGAATAAATATGTTTGGTTTGGTCTTCAAAGCTTCCGGCAATCAGCTGGTAATCCAGGGTCTCCACATCAGAATATTTAGTTGATTTGTATATATCAGAATATTTAGTTGATTTGTACATATCAGAATATTTAGTTAATTTATACATATCAACATATTTAGTTGATTTGTACATATCAGAATATTTAGTTGATTTGTACATATCGACATGTTTTGTTGTTTTGTACATATCAGCATCTATATAGGGTGAGTCCAAAAAAGGGTGAATAGCGAGATCAACATAATCGGTTGTTTGTACATATCAACATATTCAGCTGATTTGTGCACATCAACATATTTGGTTGTTTTGAACAATGTACATATCAACATATTTGGTTGTTTTGTGCATATCAATATATTTGGTTGTTTTGTACATATTTAGTTTTTTTTGTACATGATAACATATTTTACTGTTTTGTACATATCAAAATGTACAAACAGGGTGAGTCAAAAAAAGGGTTAATAGCTCTAGATCTTGCATATAATGAAGCATTTGTTTTGGTAATCTCATTTTTGACAAATGTGAATGAAATTTTAGATTTTTTTTGATAGACAATCTGACACTTACTTTTAAAAAATCCGCAAAGCAATTTTCTACTCAAAATTAGAGGAGTAGAAAAACTAAAGTGCGGGAAAATATTATTTCTATCACACCTTAAATCTTTAACAGATCAGATGAGTAGTTTAATTTGGAGAAAATGCAATAAACTAAATTTAGAAAATACACAAATTTAGTGTTAAAATAATCACTAGAAGCAATTAGACTACAATGTGCTCAAGGAAGGGTCGTGTAGGAGAACGAGATAGTCGTCGGCGTCACCCTATAGGTCAGCATTGTGCAAAAGAGGTATCCCTGCTCTGGATAATCTTCCTTATCCGCAAACCAAAATTGTCAAAGTTACTGAGTTCTTGCAACAAATTCTTTCTTTTAAATCTCTATATCTTTGCAACCCGATGTTATAAACATTTGATATTTCAAACTATGAAGTATGAATTCTGTTTGCTCAAATTGCTTTAGTTAAAAAAAGGTTAACTTCATCAAGTTGTAAAGATATATATATATAGGGATTTGAAAAAGGTTTACTTCATCAAGTTGTAAAGATATATATAGGGATTAGAAAAAGGTTTACTTCATCAAGTTGTAAAGATATATATATATAGGGATTAGAAAATTTTAGGTTGTGGTAAGAACTCAGTTTCTTTGCTATCGAATAACAATTCAAATAGCATATTTTGATATTTCAATCTTAAATTTAGATTTTCAGATAATTGAATTTAACTACGGTCCACCTTTCAATCCTTGCAATTTACCTATGAACTTATTTTATAAAATTTTCGTAAATCAAGGTTGTCTTATTACGATTGTGCACATAACACTCTCTGTTAAAACCTTAAATAAATCCCACAATTTAAGTTGGAAAAAAGTATAAATTGTATTTTTAAGACACCCTGTATAAAGTCGTGAATTTGACCCTGGTGGCGCCTGACATCGTGCCAGATGATAGATCTTGTAAAATTAAAATGTGTATTCTGGTGCGTACTAGTCATCTTCTTCTTCTTCTTCTTCTTCTTCTTCTTCTTCTTCTTCTTCTTCTTCTTCTTCTTCTTCTTCTTCTTAGGACATAGAGCAGCAATAAATCCTCAAACTAAATATATTCGCAAAATACAAGAAACCCTCTAAACCTTTTTCCCCTATCTCTGGTTGGACCACCGTGAATTGGGGGAAAAAATGAGGGAAAAACATGCGCAGTAGGGGGTGGACTCGTGTATATGCTAAAAGCAGGGAGAATTTACAAATCCATTAGGAAAGTGTGTTAGTTCAAGCAAAAATTATACGTTATACACTGTCTGTAAAGTTTTATAATAATTTATTATTATGAACTTTTAATTTTCTTAATGCAGTGGGATACTTTGTGTGAATTACCTGATTACGCCATGAGCACACAAACAAAATTTAAAATAGTAAAATTTTCTTATTTTGAATGAAAAAAACACAATATAAATTAAAAAATTCTGTCTTAGTAGCTTTTTTAAAATATGGGTTAGCTCAAAAGTTTTTATTGTAAAATATCTTAAAAATGGAAAGTTGTTCTAATTGAAAACAAATTTGCGAAAATCGAAACAATTTGCGATTTTTTGTGAAAACTGTTTGTGATGTCGCCCAATTATCGCGAAGGACAAATAATCAAAAGTCAATAGATGATGTAGAAAAGATATATAGAGAGAGAGGAGGAGGGGGTTCAGAATGACGAAAGAAACGGAAGGGAGGGACGATAAAATGTAGTAAAGCTGAAGGGGAAGGGGGTGGTTATGAATAAAGAAGGAAAAGGGAGGGAGGGAGGATAAGGATATGAGCTGATGTAGTAAAGATGAAGAAAGAGAGGGCACGGGGATTAATTATGGAGAAGGGAAAAAAGGGAGGAATGAAGATAAGGATATGAGATATAGAATGAAGAAGGAAAAGGTAGGAAAGGTTAAGAATGAAGAAGGAAAAGGGAGGAAAGATTAAAAATGAAGAAGAAAAAGGGAGTTAAGGTAAAGAATAAAGAAGGAAAATGGAAGAAAGGTTAAGAATGAAGAAGGAAAATGGAGGAAAGGTTAAGAATGAAGAAGGAAAATGGAGGAAAGGTTAAGAATGAAGAAGGAAAATGGAGCTAAGGTTAAGAATGAAGAAGGAAAAGGGAGTTCAGGTCGAGAATGAAGAAGGAAAAGGGAGGAAAGGTTAAGAATGGAGAAGTTAAAGGGAGTTAAGAGGGGGAGGGGGGGGGGGACAGAGTATAGTGTGTTAAGTGAATAGAGGGTTCAAATAACAATTAAAATAAACTATTGTAAACCTATTCCCAACCTGTCCTATTTGTCAAAAAATGACGTAAATCTGTTTAAAATGTAAAAATGACTCCATTGCAATATTTATTTCTTTTCTCAACTCAGAATGAGATATGAGCCTGTGCGGGCCAAACCATGCAAAATATTTCCCTTCATTGCAAAATTCGGCCAATTCTTATAATTGGGGGGTTTTAATGTTTTTTATGTCATCCCAGCGTCATGAATTAATATCTTTAGAACCTCATCCCCTTCATCCTGATTTGCATAGAACACCGCTTATTTATGCAAATGATCGTTAGGCTTAGATATTTAAACATGAACACAAACATACACTTGGACACAAACATACACTTGGACATACAACCAGGGCTTTAAAGGGACTGTTCACGTAATTTGACCTTTAACCTTTGCTCTGATTGAGAATGAATGAGAGATACACATTTTTCAACCTGAGAATTGATAGCAAAAACATTGACAAAGGCAAAGACAGGGAGATGGACATGAAAAATAAAAATCGACTAGCTAACTAATCTACACAAGCTAACTAATATACACTAGCTAGCTAGCTAATCTACACAAGCTAATTAATTTACACTAGTTAACTAATCTTCACAAGCTAGCTAACCAATCTACACAAGCTAACTAATCTACACAAGCTAACTAATCTACACTAGTTAACTTATCTTCACTAGCTAGCTTACTAATATACACAAGGTAACTAATCTACACTAGTTAACTAATCTACACTAGTTAACTAATCTTCACTTGCTAGCTAGCTTATCTAAACAAGCTAAATAATCTACACTAGCTAGTTTGCAGTAAATGTCGTACTCTTAAAATTTCATCCGGATCTGATTCAGTCCAGGTACAACCCATCCGTTATAAATGTCAACCAGGACACAATCCGCAAGGCTACAATCCCTTGAACTATCAACGCCACTACCAAAGGGCACGATTTTGTTAGCTATTGATTTCAACAAGGACACTAGCAATTAATCGATCAATGCCAAATCTCAAGGCACAATCTCAAATCGTATGTTTCAACAAAACCGAATTACTCTCAACACTGTAATCAAAGCGGAGTCTCTATATCAACTAATGTATTCTTACATTGTTATCTATATCATATGATTGAGACAATCATGTGATAAAAGTATTTACAGCACAATTAAAATAGGTGCAATTAAGATGTGCGTCATTATATATATCACATGATAAAGCTAATCATGCTAGGCTACGTATTCATTTGAAGCACAGTTCAAATGAACAATGGGTTTTAGTTTACAAATGTGGATAGTTAATAATGTACAACGAAGTTCAAGTTTACAGAATATTGTGTTACCCAATATTTATTACAAGCTAAATAATCTAACACTAGCTAGCGCGGCGGACTAATCTACACAAGTTAATTAATCAACACTTGTTAATTAATCTACACAGCTAGCTAATCTACGAAAGCTAACCTACTAATCTACACTAGCTAACTAACTAACTAATCTACACTAGCTAGCTAACTTATCTACACTAGCTAACTGACTAATATACATTATCTAGCTAAATAACCTACACTAGTTAGCTAATCTACACTAGCTAACTAATCTACACTAGTTAGCTAATCTACACTTGCTAACTAATCTAGACTAGCTAACTAATCTTCACTAGCTGGCTAAACTAAACTAGCTAATTTACTAATCTACACTAGCTAGCTAATCTAAGCAAGCTAGTTAACTAATCTACACTAGCTAGCTAAACTACGCAAGCTAGCTAACTAATCTACACTAGTTAACTAATATCCACTAGCTAGTTTACAAATCAACACTAGCCAGCTAACTCCTCTAAACTAGCTAGCTAACTAATCTACACCACCTAGTACTA